TGATATTCTTGCATTCAAACGAAATAACACTACTAGGATGTTTAGTTTAGTTTAGGCTTTCCGTGTTTTCCTTATTATTTTGTTCTCTTGTCGCTTATTCAGCAATACATGGTAATTGGACAGAATGGAGTTCATGGAGCTCGTGTTCTGTGTCGTGTGGTGGAGGCAGCCAATCACGAACACGCACGTGTACAAACCCACCACCATCCAATGGCGGAAGTAATTGCGACGGACCTAGTTCAGAAACCCAAGAATGTGGAACTATTACTTGTCCACGTAAGAGATTTTTATTTTTTGAGATTCTATTGTCTTAGTTAACTTCAAAACAAAACAAAAAAAACAAAAAAAAAAAAACGATTTGCAAGTTTCGAAAATCAGTAATCATCAAAAATTAAGGAAAACAATAGCCTTTCAGGACGTAACCCTTTTAGCTGATTTTGTTACCCTGAAAGTATTTAAGAAATGTTAGCCAAGTAGACAGCACAGTTTCAGTTACAAATGCCTTCCTGCAATATTCTCTATACCCTAGCGATAGTACATGGTGGATGGTTTGTATGGAATGCGTGGAGCTCGTGTTCTGTGTCGTGTGGTGGAGGCAGCCAATCACGAACACGCACGTTTACAAACCCAACACCATCCAAACACTTCTTTTAAATTCTGGTAATAGGAGATGGAAACTGGACAGCATGGAGTTCGTGGAGCTCGTGTTCGGCCACGTGTGGTGGAGGCAGCCAATCACGAACACGCACGTGTACAAACCCAGCACCAGCCAACGGCGGAAACTACTGTGTGTGCGGAGGGAGAAAAACCGGAGAACCCGGAGAAAAACCCTCAAAGCACAGGAGAGAACCAACAAACAACTCTACTCACATGGATGAACCTGGCTTCCGAAATTGCCGGTTCTTAGAAGTAACTTCTTAGAAATAGCATAATAAGTTACGTGTCTCTTTTCTTGCTAGGTTGTCAAGTAGGCCAGACGGTGACAGACAGTTGTAGTCAGCGGTGTGTCTGTGGTGCGGGTGGTACCTTGACTCAGTGTACTCGTATCAGAAAAGAGTTTACCTCCATGACGACAGCTGAACGTGAACGACACATAAGTGTTATTAAAACAGCATCTACTGATCCAAGGTCGGTCTGTCACTTTTGACGGTTTCTTATTCTCAACGCCAAGACGTTATTAGGGTCTGTCACGCAACGTTTCCCTCGATTTTAAAGGTTCATGCTGATTGGTCAATTTTTGAAAAGGAATTTTCTGCTCAAGTAAGCAGACGTTTGTGACAGACCCTAGGGAATGTCTACGCGGGAGGCTTTTTTCTTCCAGGGATAAAGCAGAATCGTAAGAGCTATCCTTTTCCCTTATTGAATCTAACCAAATAGTACTTTCCCACCAGATACAAGCCCCGGTACGATGCACTCATCACTATGCACAAGGAAATATTCTTTAATAACGGTATCCATGAGCAAGAACACTTCTTAACCTGGCATCGTTGGTACATCCTCACCTATGAAAACCTACTCAGAGAGGTTGACTGCAACTTTACTGTAGCTTACTGGGACTGGGCTGCTGCTGCAGGGAGACCGTGGGCCACAGGGGCGCAAGATGTCTGGTATTCAGGGGACAGTGGTTTTGGAGGTAATGGTGTAGCTCCCGAAGAGTGCGTGAACACTGGACCATTCAGGCAAGGAGTCTGGAGCTTGGTACCCCCAGTATTAACACCCCCTAATTGTCTTAAGAGAGGATTTAATGACAACCCAGAAGGGACCGTTGAGATTCAAATCTTGCTGAATACTGCGGCTGAAGACTTTGTTGATTTTGAGTTAGCGCTGCGAGGACGGTTCCACGACACTGTGCACTGTTTGATAGGAGGCACAATGTGTGAGCAGGATTCCGCTGCCGCTCCTGAGTTCTTCTTGCACCACGGATTCATCGATAAGGTAAAAACAGAACAGTGAAAAAATCTTCTGATAGGGTGACACAGTTTATCAGGGATTGGGTAAGATAATTGGCAGACCTTGTGCTAGTTCAATAACGATTTTCAATCCCCAAGTTTGGTTCGTCCAGTAGACTTCGTACTTGATGGATTATGACCTAACATGGTGGTGGTCACATCTTGCCCCTCTTTACAAACGAAACCCTCACTTTGTGTGACCCCTATTACTAAAGGCGGGTCTCGGAAAGCCTCTGAGTGGTATGGCCATTTTTTTTTTCTCCTGTCTAAGAAGAATGTCTCCAAACCACGCGAAATAGCATGTCCATTAACCTCAAACTTCAACTCAAATCTACCCTTCCAACTGAGCGGTGAACGCGGCGCTCAAAGCATGAGCTTGAAAGAACAAAACAAACATTAAAGTTAAAGTTAAAATGGTTTTATTCTTCCTTTCCATATTTCTGCTTCTTGTAGGCACGTATGTTATATTTTAGTCAAAAGAAAACTACGCAAAAGTTGGGTTACTGTAGCCTGGGAATGACGGCGGGCGGCAAAACAGCTAAACGCGTTGTGAATGGAAACAATTTGTACCACACGCACAGGGCGCCTTTGATTATATTTATATCGATAATTACTCGTAATTTTGTACTTTAGATCTGGGAAGACTGGCAAAAACGAAGTGCAGCCCACCGCAACGTGTATTTCTCTAACCTAAATGAAGCACTTCCAAGATCCAGCGGTGTCCTTCCTCGAGAGGTACTCGACAATACAGCGTTACCCGGAGGAGTGAGGGCCGAGTATCAACCAATACAAAACAGTGAACTTGCTAACGTCATCAGCAGACTGAGAAGTGAGTATATATATATATATATATATATATCAAATCATTTCAAACGAAGTACCACTTTCCAAACAACACAAGCGCATTCGCAGAATACCAAGTATATCCAATCAAAACTAGGTGGCATTAGCTGCTACGGTGAGACTGCTTGTCACCAGCTGTAGGAATCAAGGGTGGCGTAGTGGTAGTACTTCTGGGGTGTTGGGTTTGTTTCCCCGCAGATTTGGCATCACATGCGAATAGACTTTGTTAGTTTTCTCCCTTGATGCGAGGGTTTTTCTCCAGGTTCTCCGGTTTTCTTCCTACGTAAAACCTAACCAGTTAACTGATTTCAATTTGATGTGTGAGGTAGCCGTGCCTTGCTTTTGATCAGCCCAGAGGTTGTTCTGGGTATTGATAAAAACATTGAAGAAATTGAAGTGTGTAGTTCAGTTCTAGGGTTGCTGATTCAGTGATGTGCCACAAGAGATTTTCTTTGCCAGAGTTCTGTGTTTATTTTATACAAACAATCCTTTAGTAATCCTTTTGTCTGAACTCTATTTCAGGTCTGCCAACTGCACGACTTCAGGCGATTCCACGTATTGGTGCTAGTCCTATAAGCGAGAAGACTAAAGAACTGTTCCGTTTGAAAGCTGCGGAACAAAAAAGGCTGGAAGAGCTGGAGAGCAGGTTTCAACCAAGGGTCAGAAGTCGATCGTCAAGTAGATCTGGAATAGCGGGGAAACTTGGTTTTGATCCCAGAGTCTTAGACTCCGTAGCGAAATGAGGATAAGCGACCAAGGGTTTTATCTTAGTACCTCAGTCGTAATAAAACAACTCACTGAGCTGAAAGAAATTCTTTGAATAAAAATTAACTGAAGAAATCAATAAGCTAAGCAAGATAGACGTAAAGTTAAAAGCACCCGAAGCTGATATAAAGTGATACAATACTTTCAGTATTGTTTCTACATAAAGTGAATAGTTGAATGGTGAAATATTTCTTCATTTGAATGTTGCGTCTTTAAGTTATGAAGGTTTATGCTTCCATTTTACTGAATGTGACGTCACCCCAGGCTTCATTAAATATATAAATTTTGACTGGTTCACACAAACAGCTTTTAAAGTGCTACTACGACGAAAATCGCTCAAACTTGGATTCAGCTGAAACTTCCTAAGAATACTCTTTAAAGGTCCAATAATCACTGTATGAAGTGTTT